CTAATATGTATATATATATATATATATATATATATATATATATATATAAGAAACACACACAGACACAACAAAATTACTAAAATATTAACTAAAATCAAAACCATAAACAATATAAAAATAAAATCTGATTCAAAATATCAACAAAACTATAATAGTATATCAATGATACTAAAATAACACTTGCTTCAAGGAAGACAAAAAGCACTATAAAACTAGTTTATACGACTCATATAATATATTCTAAGTCCTGTAAAACCACATGATGATCAGCTTTGAGTGAGAAACAGACCATAAAAAATGTTTCCCTCAGTATCTCTCAAATATCATTCAATTCGAATAGAACACATCGAGATACATTAGAACTGATGTCAATGACCAGACACAATGCATCTTCAACTTTCAGAAAAAAAGTGCACAAATTGTACCTTAAGTGGTATTTATTTACCTAATTTACCCACAAAGGTGCATATTAATACATTATACATGCTACTCTATGGTACTAATATGCACATTTTAGGGGTAAATAAGGTACAAATTTGTCCGTTTAAGTGTACTGACCCAGCTGCTGTACTCCTACAGGTACAATTTTTGCCATTTTTGGTCAATAATGACTTACATTTTGGACTTTTCCTCACATAAATCTATAATGGCTTTAGAGGACTCAGAATATGGTACTTTTATGTCATTTCAGGATCCGTTATGGAGCATCGTGCAGAATTTCTTTATTCACGATCCATGGAAGAAGAAAATCCTATGGCTTAGGAATGACATGAGGTAAATGATGACAGAATTTCCATTTCTTTTTGGAGTGAACTATTCCTTTAAAATGAAAGCAGTTTTAATTAATTCAATACGTTTTCCTAGTGAAGCTGATTAATTTCTAGTGCTAAAGTGACCTACCAAAGCTATGTCTTTTACTCTAAATTAGCGAGGTTTCAAAGTCACCATGTAATAGTTTTGCTAGATCTACATTTACGGCAGTTCTATTACTATTCTAACTTCCATTATGAAATACGCTGACGTTCCTGTGCAAACATTTTCCCATTAGTAGTTCTGAAGTAATATTGCTACCTTTTTTGCGGCTATATCCAGTTTTGGCTTCATACACAAATCTCAATAGGAGTGGTCATCATCACTTTGCTCTTGTCTTGGCGGTTGGGCGACGGGCTTTTGGAGGACTCCTCCCTAGAAGAATGCGGTTCGGACAGGATGCTACGTTTGAGGGGGGTGGGGCGTAGACAGGAAGTGCCTGAAGGCGGAGAGGGCTCTGCATGTCTGTGGGCAGAGCATCGTGAAGTAGAACACCTCTTTAACCCCACAGCGCCGCTCCGGCTCCAATGCCAACAGCCGGCCAAACATTCGCAATGCATCATCTGAAAACCGCCGCCATTGGGAGGGAACAACGCCGGGAGGAAACGCCCCCCGCTGCCATCGCTGAAATTCCGAAAAGAATGCGTCGCTAGGCAACGCCGCTTCCCACGGAAAGTTTCCCGTCAGCATGCAGAACAGCAGAACTCCGAATGCCCACACGTCCTGGGTCGTTGCCACGACGATTCCCTCCGATACCGAGGCCTGGCACACCTCGGCGGCGGTGTATGGGATGGTGCCGCTGATCCGCTTGATCCGGCTTCCTGCCCGCCGTGTCATTCCTAAATCTGCCAATTTCACACGTCGACACTCGCGGTCGAAAAGCAGAACGTTTTCTGGCTTCACGTCCCGATGGACGAGACTCTTGCTGTGCATGAAGTCCAGAGCCAAACCCAGCTGCTGAACGCAGCGCTTGACCATCTCCTCCGGCAAACCGGCCTGGAAAGAGACAGAAACACAAAGGCACAGTTTAGAGCAGAGGAGATACAGAGAGAGATACAGTACAGGCTGTTAATCTGAAAGAGAATAAGCAGTTGACCTTGATCCACCTAGTTTGCCATAATCAAAAGCAGGATCACATGCAATTTGTGCCTGTTGAACTCCACAGATGTCTGCAGAATTAAAATACCCAGCATTCATAAAGTTATGCAAATTCCCAGGGCATTTTGTTTTTTTTTGCAAAGTTATGCATATTTTCCCTCAACTTCAGTGCAAAAATGTGGGGGAAAAGTCCACATATTCTGTGTAAGACTGGCTAAAGTTTACATTCAGACAGTTGATTTTCTATATTATGCAAAAAATATATATATTTTTTTTTTAAGTATATATTAGTACATTCAGTCTAAGAAAGAATATGTCCAGGACATATTTTGCCCCAGAATACAAAACAAACAAAAACAACAAACAATTCTATATTATCTATAGATGAATTATATTTTACATATAATTTAAGTTCATTCCTAGCCCCAAACACTTACTATTAAAAATATTACTAATTAATAGTTAAATAAATAATTATTTCAATAATTTTCTAATTAAAATTAAAATAAATCACTGTTCTGTTTTTGAGTCATGAATAATGACTTTTGTGGTTATAATTCTCATTTTTCTCATTGATTACCATTACGGGAATACATTTATATTCTGTATATTTTCCCCCCAGAACAATCAGTGCAGAAAATGCAAAAAGTCTGGTTAAAGGCAACAAACAAACAGTTGGTTTTCTATATTGTCCAAAAAAGATGAAATATATACTCATATAATCAGTTAAATATCTCAAAAAGATATAGATATAAGATACATATTCTCATTATTCTCCTTGATTCTTATTACTGTAATACAGTCATTTTATGAAAATAAGTCATAACTAATACTAGAATGATGTATAAATATTTCATATTTAATTCACTAATATTGTTAATTGTTTTCATTTCAGTTGCTTTTATTTTTCTACATTAATTTATTATTATTATTTATTAATTTATGTATAAATGAATACATAATTGCATTTTGTATTTGTCTGTTGATTTTGTGGTTAAAAAAACGTCGCAGACAAATTCTCGACAGGCTGTGTGATAGTGCTACAGGTGTTAAACCTACAAATGCATGATTAAATGTGTGATTTGCAATGTAAAAATGGTTAATAATGAGGTGCTGTGATACCTGAGGTGGGATGATGTCGAACAGATCTCCCGCAGGCGCGTACTCCTGTCCGAACACATAGCTGTCCTCCGTCTCAAACGGCACGTTCAGAACTTTGATGATAAACGGGCTGCAGCCCAGCGCGGCCGTCAGGCTGTACTCACGCAGAAAACTACGCAACTTCGTCTTGTTCTTACTCACGTACTTCAGAGCCAGTTTAGTACCTGCAAATACACAAAATAATGGTGAATAAAATCTGGTGCATCCAGACCACTGTATATGAATGCACACAATACTCTCCAAAATAAAGGTTCCAAAAGTGGTTTTCACAGTGATGCCACAGAAGAACCATTATAGGTTCCCAAAAAGAACCTTTCAGTGAATAGTTCTTAATCTTAAGAACATTTTAACAATCGAAAGAAACTTTTTCTACTATAAAGAACCTTTTGTGGACTGAGAAGGTTCTATGGGTGTTAAATGCTCTTCATAGAACCATTGATGCCAATAGCTTTTATTTTTGAGAGTGAAGGGCTGTGTTGTTTTAGTATCATTGATATATTATTTTTTTTATTAATCTTTTTAATTAGCTTTTATTTTTATATTTTTGATTTCTTATAAAAATGTGAATACAATTTCGATTTTTGTGTGTGTGTTTGTTATTTTTATATATATATATAAAATGTCTTTTAATATGTCTAATTTTTTATTAATTTATATTTCAGATTTAGTTATAATAGTACTTCAAGTTCAATTAAACGAAAATGAGAAATATTGCCCAGGCAACTCGCTGAAGTAAAATAAGTTTACGTCTTTTTATATTTTATTGTATTTTATTACAGTTAATGTTTATTTTAAATCAAGTAAAGCTCAAAATATTTATTAATATTTTGAATTTGTTTTTATTTTTATATTTTTCCATTTTCTTTTTAGTCATTTTTTTGTGTTTTTGTCATTTTTATTATTATTTTTTTTAATGGCTAAAGTTTTTTAATTGTTTTTATTTATCGATTGGTTTATTTATTTTTCAGTTTTAGTTATTTTCGCACTTTAAGTTAAACTAAATAACAATGAAAATGTTGCCTTCACAAATATTTGTAGTATTTTAAAGTTTTTCATATTTTATTTAATATTATATTTAAAGTAACGAAAATATTTTTTTATGCATGTAGTTTTGATTTTAATTAACCCTGCACAAGGGTAAATGAGATTTAATAGCTACAGCTTAGATTTCAGTGAATAGTGATCTAAATTTTGGCTTGTCTCACACAATTATATCCTAAACATTGAAATATAACATGCATGCTAGTTTCATGGTGTCATTTTTGCCGCTCGACAGCTTTGCGACAGCATTCACTTCCGTTGCATGGCGAGGAGCAGCCAGGACATTTTGTTTTGGTTCCACAGGAGGAAATAAAAAAAGAAAATCAAGAATGGCACTGTCTAATTTTCATACAGACTCACCCTGTGTCCGATGCACCACCAAATCGACTTTGCCGTAGGTGCCCTTCCCTAAAGGACTGATCAGCTCATACTGCTGTTCCAGCTCTGATGCGGAGAGAGACGTGATTGACAGCGCCTGCATGTCCTCCACCGGAGCGCCACCCGTCCCACTGCCCCGTCCCGCTGGGAGAACCCCCACTTGGGCACTGAGAAACACACACACTCACACACTTACATATGAACACAAACTAATTTCAAGAAGAATTGCATCCTGGCGAGTAACTCTCTCCTGGTATTATAGAGCTCCTTGATGGTGTCATTTGTCTTTCTCTGTTTATTTCTCTCTCTCTCTAGTGTCTGCGTCCTCTTTTCTTTCCTCTTGTCAGCACTCTACCTACACTCTATTTCCCGAGCCGTGTACCTGACTTGACGCTCTCAGATGAAGCAGTCAAATCTTTGTGAATATTTCAACAACAGCAAAGGGCACTAACTGAATCACTCTCCTCACGGGAATAAAGCAGTGACCTAGACTGAGGCCTCACGTTATCAGCTTCATGCATAGTGACAGCAAGCCGAGACAAGACCCTCCGCCGAGCATCAGCGCTACACAAACACAACAACATGAAGACGCCGGGCGACCTTAAGATGACCTACCAGAAGTTCTGCTGAGCCGAACCCCTGCTACCCTGCCCACGTTAACCCCTGACTGAGAAACAAATGAGAAACTGATTTAGGATCATTCTGATTTTCTTTAGAGGTCATTGCCAACCTTTGATTTCTACTGCATTAAACCGCCAGTCGCTCTCTCTGGCCCTTCATTCAGCTTAACAGGTAGAGCACTGGGTTGAGCAAAAAATAACAACATTTTAGAAATTGTCTCAGTTGGAATTGATTAGGCAGCAACATACTGGATATTGAATTGGAATGACAGGGGACGGAATTTACGGAATTGCAATTCAAAGAAATTCACATTAATCCAACAAAACAATCAAAATGGGCAGGATTAGAATAGAATAGAATAGAATTTATAAAACTGCTTAATGTCAATTAGCTGCATTTTGTGTGTGTATATATATATATATATATATATATAATTGAAGTGTATTAATAATTCATATAATAAAATATCTTTAGTATATATACACTAAAAATATAATTAATTTATTTAAATATAATAGTTATTATATAATGCAATTTAAAAGGCATTTTAAATTCAGTTCTGAATAGAATGATGCTATAGCAACACTATAAGGTCATGGGTTTGATCCCCTGGGAATGAGCCATAAAATCATTTGCTACATGAATAAATATGAATGTAAAATATACATTTAGTCAGATTGAATGTAAATCTCACACTGCGTGAAATCTACAGTTTGCTTTTCTCACTGACCCCGAGGTCAACACCTGAAGGTGACCTTTGACCTGACCTCCCTAACAGATCACACACGATGTTCAAACATGCAAACTCATGTTTACATTCGAACACCATGTATGCAAACGCTAAATGCATCAGCATTACATAATAAAAATGAGCTTTAAAATATTCTAATTTTTCAATTCATTCTCATTACATTCTATTCAATTTTTATTATTTTGTATTAATTAATTTAAATATTTAACCATTTTTACTACTCTCTTTCTCTCTCCTTCATTTCTTTTTCACCTTATTTTTTGTCTCTTTCTGTACGCTTTGGCGATATTATGACTCTGAAAACATCAACAACAACAGCAACAAACATGCATGAATACTTGATGTGCCACCAACAGCGCAAAACAAAGAGTTCAGCACAGCAAGTGCCCTTTCCCTCAGCAGCAGGTACGAGCGAAGCATCTCCAAACAAAAGAAATCAATAGACATGTCAGGCTTCAGTTTCACACAGTGATGACCTGGATGAATGAGAACTCACTTGAACTCACCTGCTGGTGCCCTGCTGTCTCTCTCCCTCATGTTCCTGCATCCAAACGCCGCGTCCTGATCTCAACCCGGCTAGAAATTCATCCCTCGTCTGCTGAGCATCTAAAAAAGCATGATGTTATATCACAAAAAAAAGAGTTTCCTCAGCACTCCAGCTCTGAACTGCACGCTGCGTTACATCCTGCACTCGTGGAAAAAGCAGAGTCCGTTTGTGCAGTCCGGCTGACTGTTTTCGGCTTTCTTTGTGTGCTCCTGAAGGAAGCCGCTGGCGCATGAGGAGCCAGGAGCTGGTGTGTGTGTTCAGTCATCAGTGATGTTCAGTGTGTGTGTATGAGAGAGAGATGGAGGGGAGGGGGTGCATGCGTGCGTATCTATGCGTGAATGACCTACTTGATTGCGTTTCCGCTCTCGGATGTTGGAGGAACAGCGCTGGTGCTCGGCACGTCTGTGTCTCGCAGCATCCAGGGTCCCTTTAGGGATGTCAGATGCGCTCATCCAATGGCCAGTCTCTTGTTCCCGTGTTCACATGATCACAGAGCCCCTCGAGCCAGCAGTGTCCCGTCATTCAGGCTTCATTTTCACCCCCAATTTAATGCAGTAAGTTATTTTTAGATCTGCTTTGCATTGTGACATTCAAGCACATTTTTCAACCAAGTTCTCATTCCAGTGTTATTATGCATCCAGTGTTATTATAATATTTTTATTAGTTTTAAATGTTATTTTTCTTGTTAATTTTGTTGGTTTTGTAATTTTTACTGGATGTGCCTATAGTTTTTATTATTTTTTTTACTTTAGTTTTAGCTATTTTAGTACATCAAGTTAAACTAAATGAAAATTAGAAATACTGTCTAGCTGAAATGAAAAAGTTTAAAGGGGTGGTTGATTGCGATTTCACTTTTTTAACGTTAGTGTGTAATGTTGCTGTTTGAGCATAAACAATATCTGCAAAGACTGGACTAGCTAACCAATCAGAGCCCATCGCCTATTTCTGAGAGAGGGGCTTCATAAAAGCAGGAAATGATCAACCCGTTTCTCAGAGAAGGGACAGCAGTGTGGAATAAAGGTAAATTATGTGAAAAATAATGCGTTTTTTTAAAAAACGAAGCATTAACACATGTTAGACTGCACCCCATAAACAAAATCAATCCTAGAAAACGCGCTCTGCATCTCTCTCTCTCGCTCTCTCTCTCTCATTCTGCTCAGCTCCAACAATGAACTGTTACAATTATACACTTATTTTCACAAGTTTAATTTTAGTGGAAAAGCATGAAATGTATACAATAATATTATATATAAAAATATATTTGTTATACATAACGAAATGTAAATTATTGCAAATTAAAAAACATTTTAAATGGCATTACAAAAATATACTAAATGTTCCTGTAAAGCCTGTGTTGTTAAACTACATTTAAACGTGTTTAAAACATTTTTTTATATATATATATTATCTGTTTTCTTGTTCATTTTTGTTACTGTTTTAGTGATTTTGTGTTTTTTATCAGAATAGTTTTTTTTAAATATCTATATATAGTTGTAAATTGTTTTATTTTATTTTTAGTACATCAAGTTCACTTACACTGCATTCAAGAGATATACTTTTTCGCCGAGGCCTAAAACCTAAAATTAACTAAAATTTCAAAACTCTTTTGCTGTCTTCAGGAAATGTAAATCTAGTTAAACAACTAGTGCTTTTTCCTCACATTTACAACAACAGCAAGAAGTCGTGTTTTGGCAAGCGTCTGAAAGCCCAAATACATAATCTCACCTCTGCGTCGTTACGCCTGTTTCTCCTTTCATTACGTTTTCTCTTCATACTTTTTGTCCTAGTTTAAGTTGCCGTCTCCTCACTTTATCCAGGTCGTCATGTCCCCCCCCCCCGCCAGTGCAACAACTTTGACATTAATCTTGTACATTTAAAACCTTCGTCATCCAATAATAATAATCATTATTATTATTGTTATAAATATAACAATAAAAATTATAATTATAAACATTTTATCATGTTATTTTATCACTTGTTTTTATTAGTGTTATTATTATAAAGGTTGCACATAATAATAATACTAATAATAGTAAATTATAATGATTACAAATCATCAAAATGATTATAAACATATTGATTACATTATTATATTAAAATAGAAAAAATAATAATTATTATATTATTAAAAATAGAAATTAGTTTTATTACAAAGCACATAATAATAATAATAAGAAGAACAATAATGATAATAAAATATAATTATATTACAAATTAAAATACTAAATTATAAATTTATTACAATATTATAATTATTATAAAAGTGGCACATAATAATATTAATTATTATTATAAAGGTGGCACATAATAATAATAATTATAATTATAATACAATAATCTGAATTAATACAAAATTATATTATACAATTAATATAAAATTATACAATTAATAGAAAAATAGTATTATAACTTATTATTATTGTTATTACTATTAATATTATTTTAAGAATCTAAATAATAATTATGTTCCACCTTCATACGAATAATAATATAGTATAATTTCTATAATGTTTTCAGATTTAATATAATAATAATAATAATGAAAGTGGAACATAACTATTATTATATAGAAATAATCTTATGTAAACATAAAAAAAAACTTCAGTGGTTGTTTTGTCAATGTGTTCAAGGCTTCAGAAAATAAAAGAACATCACTGGCTACAGTCTGTTGAACTGTACTGCTCACAGCCTCTGTTTTGCATGCCAGTGCATGTGTGCTGGAGGAGCGTAACATCACGTGAGGCTCTCCACAGAGGCCCGTTTGTCTCGCTCTCCGACGCTCTTCCTGTTGTACTGCCTGTCGTCCCTCCTTAAAATACATCTGAACATATGGTGTCTGGTGCATATGAAACCATAAAGAATTGAGCAACATCTTACACTCTCAGCTGTGCTCAGCAGGTCTTTGAGGATCTTTCCAGTCTTATAATCGCTGAATATCCGTGATCTGAAGCCCTTGACTGCCTTCCAAGTGTATTCAGCAGGTCGTGGATCTCTTGAGAGCACGTTTGTTGTCTTCTTCATCTCCTGCGTGAGAAGATCTGTCATGAAATGAACAGAAGACAACTGAGAAGTTCAGGGATTTCACGATGAATGTCATTGCCATATTTTGTTGTTTCGATTTAATTAGATGAAAGGCCTTAATTACCCACCTGAGGTTTGAGTGACAGGCGCTGAAGCTGCATCTGTCACGGCCTTGACGAAAGCCTGATGGGAGCGTCAGCGCTGACCTTTCTGTGTTCTATACCTACATGCCTTTGTCAGCTTTAAAGGGTTTCCTCAAAAATCAATCTGAACAGCTTGTTTAGAAGGAAAAGTACTTTTTTGATTGCTAAACACCCATTCAGAGCAGTCCGATATTAACTAGGGAGTTTTATGAGTCATCTGCAATTCTGAGGAGACTGATGATCTGATGTACACAACCCTGATATAAATATCTCAAACTGCGTTCACCCTTTCAGTGCGTCATTGTGAGGCAGCGGATGTCCTGCAGGCAGAAGTTACATCTCTCTCTCTCTCTCTCTTCAACTCTGAATGCATGAAACAGCATTGTACCCCCCCTTTAATGTTTTTCTTGAAATTGTGTGACTATTTCTCATTTAGGGTAATGAACGTGCCTGCAAAGTGTTGTGGAATGTGCATACAAAATTTCTATTATGTTTGTTATGTCCCATACAACAACAAAAAAATAAAAAATAAAATAAAATAAAATAATAATAATAATAATGTTATATATATATATATATATATATATATACATATTTATATATTTCAAAATATATACAAAAAATTGGCTAAAATGTTTTAAAATGTTTCAAAATATATTTACATAAATATATTGCCTACCAATACATTCTTTGGTCATTTTTTGTATACTTTTTAAAGTATATATATTTTTAAATCCATTCACACGTCACATGTGAAGAAAAACCTTATTTGTTGTCTATAACTCGTGTGAACATATAACTCAATTTAATAAAATTCAACAAGAAACATACTTCACAATGTTCCAAAAATTACAATATTACAATATATAAAAAATGTAACATTATTAAGTCAGACACATTTATTTATTTATTTTTTATTGTTTTTGTTTTTATTACCTTGTATGTCCAAACCTGTCACTTATCACGAAACGAACAAAAACAAAAACATTTTCTAGGGATCTACACGAATCTCGTAGGTGACCTATTGTGATCTCAAAAAGGTGAGTTTTCACCGAAATGTGAGTTTGCATCTATGGTCATTATAAATCCATAAGATTATTTTCTTGCCTTTGAAATACATTTTGAAATATATTTTGGTAGGCTATATGAAGGTGGAAAATAAATATATTTTCAATTTCAAAAATATATTTCATTGAGCCTCACTGTTTACAAACATATATTTAGCATATATTTAAAATATAGTTTGGCCAGAAAAGAATAAAAATTGCCGCATGGGGTTAGTGGGTCAATTTGATTTAAATAAATAAAAAAAAGTTTTATGTATTTTGTTATATCTGTTTCTCTACCCTCTGAGGGCATATTTACATTTATGTATTTGGCAGACACTTTTATTCAAAGAAATATGCTGCGTTGAAAGAGTACATTTTTTCAGTTCATATATGTGAGTTTTGTTGGGATGTGAATGATCTTGTCATTTGCCATGCGTAGATTAAAATTAATAAAAAAATTAAAAATAAAAATGTTCATTTCAAATTAAAATAGGCCTTTATTTAAAATACTATTTAGAATATTCAGTTCTATGTATAAAATATGTTCTTATTATGCAGTTTTGTAATGTGTGAGAAGTAGGCTATTCATATTAAAGGTTTACCTGATTTTTATTTTTTTTTCATGATTTTTGGTGAAGGGTCAATTAGACCCAGAATGTAGCGTACCCAAGACCAAACAGAACACTTTAGGAACTGCATAGCATGGACAAAAGCTGAAGGAGAAGTAAAATCGAGTTGTATTTGCTCTCGGGTGGGCTCGGATATCTCTGCGTAATTGGATTTTCTTTTTCACGGTCTGGTCATTTTCAGCTGAACTCTCTGAAGGTCTTCTCCTCTGCCTGTTTCGGCTTCTAACAAGATGCTTCTCTGCAGACTGTGGCTAGATCCTCAGATATTACATCTTATTTACAACCGAAGAGAACCTGCAGGCCTGACACGGATTGCTTGAGGGTTTTGTCTGTGATCTGCGGTTTGAGCTGTTTGTTCTGCTAATACTGTCTAGTGATGGCCAGAGGAAAGGGAGACTTGGACAGGAGCAAATAATAGCCTGGAGTGTGTGAGAAGGGTATTTCTGTGTAAAGGACAGTGCTATATTGGCTTGATGCGTGGCTTGCTTACACAAAGCAGAAAACTGGGCTGAAATGTGAAAACGATAGAGCTTTGGATCCTGCCATCTAGTGGTTCAGCAAGAGTTTATCAAATCTCAAACTACCGGATTGTAGCAAGTACGAGTCATGATAGCGAATCGGTTCGTTCGGAC